CAACAATTTAAAAAGTGAACCGACATTTATAGTGAACAAATGCCAAAACGAAATTAATAGCCCTTCGGGCTAATAATATAACTAAATTTAAATTAAAAGAAATGTAAAGAGATAAACAGAAATATGATAAATTATTCAACCTATCTTAAATAGTTAAAAAAAAGTATCATATCATGTCTTATTTGGGACTCTAAATAAGGGCCCAACCTTATTTGGGGCTTGTCTTATTTCGAGCAGAATTAATATTCCACTCCAAAGAAGCAACTCATCCGATTTCCGTCTCAGTTGAAGCCCTGAGTATAGGTTTAATATACTATTTTATACATTATTCTTAATGTTTATTTATTTAAGGGATGACAGATACAAAAATCATTCGTTTCTTGCAGCACACCAATGATAAAAGATAAAACGATTAAAGCGATGCTACAGAGAATAGCAAGAATTCTAGAAACAATATGAGGATATGGAAGGAAATTTTAATGGAAAGGTGTAGCTTTGAAAATAAAGAGGGAAGAAAGAGTCCAAGACTTTCTGATCGCTATGCCCTGTCGATATAATTCTAGCCGTCAAGTAGAAATTTTCCCTCATTACGATTCGATAACAACGTGCGAATAAACGTAGGACTAATCTGTACAAGTGATATTAGCGGACCTCCTAGCGTTTGGTTAGAGTGTTCAAAAAGTTTTCAGGAGCTCTGCAGTAGGAGTTATTAGACAGGCCCGTGCACGACCACTTTTAGTACTTTCAGGAAAGAGAAAAATTCATTGCACATCCTGGAGAATAAGCCTTTGCCATGTGGAAAGAGGCTTTTTCCTTAAAACTCTCAACTTCTGTCCAAGGTCTGAATCCGTGGGCAAGACAGACAGCATTCAGAAGTTAGAATCGATTATTAAAGCATATAATTATACAGTTTGATTGCTGAAATTGTGGTTCACTTACGTAAAAGAAGTACCTAAGCCCTTTTATTAAGGGCTCCGATGCGTTCCAGCTAAAATTATGATTTATCTCCAAAACTAAGAAGTATCGAAACCGGGCTGTGGTGGGCTCCGGAGCAATTAAACTCTGGTAGGGTTATTATCATTTTAATTAGTCCGTTATTGTGATACACAGCTTTGGCGTTTTACGTCGTCCACTATAAAAAGAATTTTCCTTTTCAAATTGTTGCCACCAAATATAGCCCTGCATTATATTTAAAGAAATTAAATAATGAAGAATCTGCGTGAATGTATGTGTGTTTCACACATTGTGTAAAAAAAAACGGTACCTAGAGATATAAAATTTTGAATGACGTAATCCTGCACTCGAATATGGGCATCTGGAAGCGAAAAATTTGGAAGTTGTTTCATTATCTCTTTCATGTTTCGTAAAACGTTAACCAATTATTAATTAACAAACTCAACGATTTCAAAGCGAGAAATGGCAACCCTGTACGGAAAAAAAAAATATTGTCTCCAGCGCTTGGGACTGTGTATTGGAAATTCCAAAGATATACTCTCTTTTTTGATATTACTGCTGAATTGAATTTTGTGGTTTAAGTGCGAAGATCATGATATTTCATAAATAAAGGTAACACACAAATTGTTAAAAACGCCCCTTTGAGCGTAATATAAAATCTGAAAGCTTTCAGTTTTTTAAAAATTTTATTTGTTTATTTCTTAATGTTTATTTATTTATTTTGTGTGTGTGTCTACTGGCACATTTTAACTTTCAAGCTGGCTTTGGGTGAGGGAAGCTAGTAATACAATAATAAATCAAGTACAAAGTATTAAAAATATTTGCACAGATACGATAGATTTACAATGCGAAATTTTGCTCCTTATTAAAATTCTCAAAAATAATTTGATATCTAATCGATTTATTAACCATTGTCTTAAAAGAGCAGGAGTTAAATACTCACTCTAAATCACTTAACTGATTTGTTCTTAAACCTGAGAAGGCGGTATAAGTTGGATGACTATCAGTTGGAGGATTTATACATAGTGTAATTACGAAATTGTATGTAATGCAAAAAGCTAATTGTTTTCAGACATTTCTTATGCTATTACTAAAAAAATGAGCCTATTTCACAATCTTTAGTCTGTCAAATAGCTCGTTGACAGTGAAAATTACTTTTTTCCTTTTCTAAATTTCTTCCTCGTTCCGACACGACAATTAGCCAGATATTAATTAATTTCCATTCACTAGTTAGTATATTCAAAATTTTAACAGACGTTTTCACTCACATAAGAACTCCGCAACAAACGTCCCTCAAGCATTCCTAGTCCCTCCCATGTCCCATAAATTACTTCTCACAAATTTCGCTGCCTGAAATAATTCAAACTATCCATGCTGCCGATAACGGAATTTCGGACTCACACCCCTTCGTAAGACACCGAAGAGAACACTTTTCCGACATCCCACTAGAAAGAACGTAAGTTAATTAATGTATTTTCTGGCCTTTTATATCTTCATGTACGTTTCACATTTTTTTCTTATTATATATTAATTTTTCAATTTTTATTATTTGATTTGTTTTTGCAAAGATAGCATTATGTTTCTTAATTTTCTAATGTTTATTTCAATTACTTTAAGTTCTATTTCATAATTCCAATTAAGATTACCACTGTTTAATTTTTATACAAATAGTTTTGAATTAACATGCATAAAAGCGAAGGTGTCGGGGGACATTTACTCAAGTATTATGTACATTTTTCTACATAAATTGCTTTTCACTTAAAATTTGTATTAACGAAAATGCTTAGTTCAGAATGAGTTCTTTAGTACTCTACTTTAGTTCTAAATCCCATCACTTCACGGAACTATTTGGCCTAACTTAAGTTGCCAGTTTGGCATAACCATTCTTACTTGAGTAAAAGACGAAACACCTTCGTATTTATTAATTATTGTTCATTGAACGGAAGTTGGTTTGTTCCCCTTGAAAAGTCAAGTAATTTCCGATCAATAACGATAATTACTTGCTTTTAATTTAATTTCTTTTTCAAAGATTGAAATTTTGTTAATCATGATTTAATTCAAGCCGCCATATATACCATAATCGTTTCAAAAGAATATAGTAAAGTTAAATTTAATTTAAATAATTATCTTGCTCCATTGCTGCAAGGAATGAAATTTGAATTTGACAAACATTCTCTATTCGTAAAAAGCAAATTAAAGTTAATTAAATTTTAAATGAAATTAAATTACAAATAAACAATTAATTATTGCTGCGAACTAATCTACAGTATCATTTAAAATCTGAGAGCATTTGGAGGCAACTTCCCCTTGATAAGTCTGTCAAGTGCAAGTATCAAAATCTATGAATATATAATAAATGTACAATATGTAATTACAATATTTTTTCAATCCTAAAAATTTATAAAAATGCATAAATGAATAATTGCTGAGCAGGCAGGAGACAGATTTATCAAGGGGATGTTGCCTCCATACCTAACTCTTCAGTTATTCAATTCGTGTTTCGTCATCCATGTAGGCAAGGCTAAAAGGAAAATGAAAAACCAAATGCTGTGAATTACTAAATAGAAATTTAAGCAAGTGGAATTTAGAAAAATTAGCAAGTAAAGACTATAATTTAAAAAAATAAAGTATTAAGAGTAGAAAACCATTTTTTTTTTTTTTTTTTTTTTTTTTAGAAAACCAAAGTAATTTAGAAACCCTTGCCTACAAAAAAACTTTCCCGACACGAATTATGCAAATAAATCAAAAAGAAACTAGATACTATTTAAAAAAAATACATAAATAATACAAAAAAGGCAAGTAAATAGTAAGTTTTAATTTAACTTACCACCTATATTTGTATTTGGAGAGTGGAGCAGCATGCCAAACTAAGTGATGTTAAGTAGTGTGTTTCTTCTAACTTTATAAATATAGTTCGCTAATATAAGGTAACGTTGAGTGTTAAAATTCCACTTGTTTAAATTTCTTTTTAGTAATTCACAACATTTGGTTTTGAATTTTCCTTTTAACCTTGCCTACATGGGTGACGAAAGACGAATTGAATAATTGAAGCGTTAGGTTTGGAGGCAACTTCCCCTTGATAAGTCTGTCTCCTGCCTGCTCAACAATTATTCACTTATGCATTTTTATAAATTTTTAGGATTAAAAAATGTATTGGAATTATATATTTATTCATAGATTTTGATACTGGCACTTGATTTACATATGCTCTCTGAATTTAAATGATATTGTAGATTAGTTCGCAGCAATAATTAATCATTTATTTGTAATTTCATTTAAAATTTAATTAACGTTAAATTTGCTTTTTACAGATAGAGAATGTTTGTTAAATTCAAATTATATACCATAATCTATATATACATATTAATTTATTATCCGGTGTTTTGATTTTTTTGTGAAATATTCTTAATGTAAAGCACCTTCATTCCCTCCTTCTAAAAATGCAAACCAAAAAGAAAGAATATTTGTAAGTATTATTTTTAATAATAACCTTTAAAGGATTAAAAATTTTTCAGTTGAAGATATCAAGATTTTACCCGCAATTAAGCCTCGGCAATTTTTCTTATGATGCCGCTGATACACAGGCTACGCAACTTAACGTACAAAAATTCGGATTTTCATGTTTCATTCTAATATTTGATATTTTTTCAAAAAACTCAAATCTCATGCCAATTTTTGGAAGTGAAGAAAATATAGCGCCTTTATTATATATCTATTTTTGAAAAATGTTTGGTCAATTTTTTTTGGAGGGGGTAAGAAAGAAAGGAAAAAAGAAGTAATGGGCTTCTGTATTATTGATTAATCTGCAAATCATTTTCCGAAGTTAAATTAAGGTCTTGTCTGCTTAGCTCTCTACGAAGTTTTTAGTAGTATATTGAGGCTTTTAACAGCAAACCAACCACCACGGCATGAAAAAAAAAAAAAAACTCTGTCTGAGAGATCAAATACCTAACAGCCCTTCCCAACCGTCTACACCCTGTCATTCTCTCGATATCCGCAGTCTCGCATGTGGCGCTGTGGTCGTTTCTGCTCATCGGGCGAATATCGCGTGGCTTGTTAAGCCGCACTTTACTGCGCGGGACAGTAGTGGACGGTGCGCGTGTGTTTTTTTTCTTCGACCTTTGTCGGTGTGCTTGGGTAAAGTGGAAAGAAAACAAACGTTTCTAAACAAAAACAAAGGCAACGAGAGAATTTAATTGCGGCTTCGTGCACTGTTCACTCTTATAGATGTGAATTTTAACCAACGAGGAAAAAGTTCTGAGAAAGTTTTCAAAGTAGATTCTGCGCACTTTGCTGTTGGAAAAGTAAAAGTTTCTTCTCTCTAGGTATTCACTGAGTTTGACCGTCTGCAAAAGTTTCTTTGCAAATTCGTGGAAAAAAGTTCTTGTAGCAATTTATGAGCTGCCAGAATTGCAAGGATTCAGTTTGATTCAAAACGACTCCTGCAGGTGTTCAGATAATAAATGTTGTGATGCAAGTGGAAGAGTGCATTTAAAAAGTTATTTACAAATTGCGGAGGATTATTACGGTATTTAAATTACTTAGCACTGAAGCTAAATCGGGCTCCTAAAATCGAACCGGCACATTTGGTACGCTTGGTATTGATACCGATTGCGTACCGACCGGAATAGTTTCTGCCTATTTCTTGTGTTTTGGATGGCCAACACTGATCGTGCTTTATGAAGAGTGAGCCATATCCACTTGAACATTCCCTGGCCATGCAGTACGAAGATGGTATGCCGCATTATGGCGGGATGGACGGCCCAACGTCTCTTTACGATCCGCACGGGCACAGGGCTATGCAGCCCTTGAGTCACGCGCCCCACATGAACCACACCCCCTCTATGCATCAGTACCACAGTAACCATGTGTCGGGGGTCATGTCCAACCACATCATGGGTTCCGTGCCGGATGTACACAAGAGAGATAAGGATGCCATTTATGGGTGAGTTATTTATCGAAATAATACAAAACAGAAAATTACAACTTAAACAGTACTTACACAAGCAGTATTTACATTACGTTTTTGGACAAAAATTGTGGAACTATTTCATGATATAAATCAAGCAATCGCTAAAAAACCCTGTCAAACTTCAAATTAAAATTGTTCCTACTGCCCCATTAATTAGCGTTACAGCAGGTGTTTGCATTTATTGTATTTAACAAAAAGCAAACTTACTAACCATTGTGTGTACAAATTGCGAAGTAAAGTAAAATTATGAAGGAGAAAAATGACATTTTGGCATAATCTTAGTTTGATTACGTTTTGTTTCTAATTTGGATTTTACTGTTACAAGTTAGTGAGGATCTTGGTTTGTTCATCTTTTATATTTAATAGTAATTTAAAAAAGAAAGTAGTGACAAAAAGTTAGTAGTCAGAAATTACTTTGAAACAAATAAGTCCTTTGACAGACTTCAATCAGAAATTACATTGAAACAAAAAAGTCCTTTGACAAACGTTGCGAAAAGCTTTTTATAGAATCATATCCATGAAATTTTCCAGCCATAAAAAATTCAAATGAATTTCTGTTGACTGTTTATTGTAAATACTTCAAGAGGAAGATATAAAAATGTGCAGGTAAATTAAAAGTGCAATTAATCACAGTTTTACCGATACATATAAACTTTAAAATTCAGAATAATTATAAATTTTGGAAACTATTTTATAGCATGCCAAGCTTAAATATTACTAGATCAGTATACACACACAGCAATATACATAAAAATAAAAAACTGAAGAATATTTAATTAATAAATACTTTTAATGTCGCGGCGCAAAATGCTACGAAATTGGTTAATTAATTAAGGGGAGTATCAGTTTGGAAATAGGGTCAGTTTGAATGCCTAGCAGACATCACATAGGGGAGTATCAATTCACAGAATTAATATCAACCAAGAGTGGTAAACATATTAAAGCTATTTATTTTATATCTAGATATTGTATTTATTTACATCAAGGCATAGAAAAGAATGTTTTTTATAACAGTGTTACCTTTGTAGAACTTCAACAGTGTTTGTTACCTTTGTAGAACTTCAAAACCTAAATTTACTTTTATTTCAATTTAATTAATGTAAAGTAAAATAACTAAATTTACTTTTGTTTCCGTTTTGTGCTTGCATTAATTTACTTTGTTTCACTTTTACTTTTGTTTTCAATTTGTGTCTTCCTTTTAGATAGTTTACCACACTTGCTGATATTAATTCCATATATTAATAGTTTACCATACTTGGCTGATATTAATTCTATATGTTTATGTAGTTTGCCTATATATTTATATAGTTTTATATAAAATTTGCCACACTTGGATGATATTAATTCTATAAACACACACACACATATGGAATATATTCGCATGGACATTCAGTAATGTTATGATACGAAAATTTCATTATTGTAATATGCATTAATGATGCAACTTTGTATTATAAGACAGCAAAGGACATTATAACTGTATGCTTTTGAGGATGTAGATTTATGTATAAATTATGCATATTCAAATGTTCAGGAAAAAGCAGACGCTTTTATATGTAACTATATAATAAAAATATGAATTTATGCATTAGGGTAAAATATGTTTACTAGAGCAATGCAATCCTTTGGTAAAAGAAACACAATGTACGTCTGTTTATAAAACATACCAACATGCTAACTCGATAAAGCTTAATATAAAATAAAGACTCAAGTATAAGCGGGATGGACATGTATTAGAATAAAGTGATAGAAGTATTGGAAATCATATAAGAAATTCCAGAAAAATAAATAGGTAAAAGATGCTCTGCATCATTAACGATGATAAAATAGATATTAAATAAATATTAAAGCAGATGAAAGTTACAAAAATGATTAGTGGTAAAACAAAAAATCCAGTTTGATGTTTTAAGATTTCAAGTGTTTCCAAAAATTTTGTTACTATTTATTTCAGAGAAATAAAAAGCATTGCAGGTCTATACTTATATTGTTGTTGTGTTTGTGATATCTCCTTCTCTCTTCAAAGTCCTCAGTTGCAGAAGTTTCTGTGTGTTACAATACGAAAATCTGATTTCAGCAATAAAATTTTATTAGAACTGTTTTCATTATAAGATTTTATTTGGAGGGTTTTTTTTAAGGTAATATATTTTCATAAAGTATGAATTTAGAAAACAATACCAATTTTTAACTTTTTTAGAACTGCGAATTTTTTTTTTGTTAAAAAAACTCGATATGAAAAACATTTCTTTTTAAAAACAACAATAAATCCATGTCCATAATTTTAGGTTATGTATTCTTTCGACCATCACCTTTCAGTAACACCTAAAACACTTGCTGTTAATGTGAAAAGTACACGTTTTTCAACAAACGATTGCGAATACTAGTACCATTGCAAAATTTTTGCACTTAAGTAGATTTTAAAATCTGATTTTTTTTAAAAAAAAATGTAGTTTATTGTCGATAAAAATAAGCAAAATGTCCTGCATTAAAATTAAAACTGAATTTAAATGCAGAATGTTTTTAAAAAACTAATATATTTAAAATACTTATGCTCAGAAAAATTTAAATAGTTGATATTTTTATTTAAAAAAATGTTCCTTAGTTCCTTTCTGTTTCCACTTATTATTTTTAACTCTCCGTATTACATATTTTATTAAATATAAATAGTATGCAGTATTTTTAATAATTTTTCATTAATTTTAGATGTTTGACTATGCTACATATAATTTTAAGGTATTTGTTACATAGAGATATATATATAAATTTTATTTCGTAGTTAAATTAAATTGAATACTTGTGCTATTCAATAGTTATTAACGAAAAAATTTTTTTACGTTTTCCTAATTTTATGCCAGGTTTAATTTTTTTATGCTAAAAACGCCCTTTATAAAATTATTCCCATTTTTCTTTTAAAATAAGATTTTGTAGCGGATCATTTAAATGCTATCCTTTGTCAAATAATTCGTCATAAAAACTTGATATTTCAAACTGTAATAGTGCACTGTTCATCAATATACTTGTCTTTAAGAAACAATATATGTTAATAATATTTTGATAATTTTGAAGGGCTTTAATATTATAAAGGAATTAATTATTATTTTAATAGGAAATGCCGAGACAATACTCATATTATTTGGGGAGGATTACATATCAGTGATAATATATTTATATATACCTGTACTTCGAATGAATTTTAAAGGTATTAAAATCTCCAGGTTTACTTGTCGGTTATAGATTATTTATATAAGAAAATACGCATATTTTTCGTAACTAAACTAAGTACTTAAGCAAATAAAACTTAGGTTAGTTTAAGTAATTTATTTGAACAAGATTATATACATATATATATATTTATTTATTTGTGAGAATCACTAATCACCAATCACCAACACTGTTTATGAAATTTTAAAAATGTTTCCGTCATAGTATGTTAATTATTTCAAGTGTGAAGTTTGTCTCAGGATATATTAATGTTTCGATAGAGGAATAAAATAATAAGAAGTGTAAATTTTATCATTGAAATTATTTTTTATATTCTTGGAAATGTACTCCACTTAAAATAACGTAAGTTCATGTAGTACTTCTCTTGTAATTTTTGATTCACACTTTTAGTTTTACAATACTTGGCAATTTTGTGAATTTTATTATTTAAGAAGTAAGTTAAATAGCTGAAAAATTTCTTCACAGCTCAATCATGCAATTCTACAAAAGATTCGCTAGAAAATAGTTCAGTAATATGTACAATCTGTATATTGTTTTAAAGATAGCTGCATGTTTTAATAACGAAAAATAATGTATATATGTGTTTTAAATAATATATTGCATATCCTGTTGAAATACCTTTTAAAGCAAAATCCCTCTAAATATATATATATATATTTAATTCTTAGCATTCTTTGTCTTGGACAATTGCATGCAAAATATTTCACTTTCCCTAATGTCTTAAAAAATTACACTAGCTATATTTTCTTACAAGGGCTTTCCTAAGCGTTGCCTTTATATTCCATAGCTTAGTTATCCAGAATCCACATATCGGGAACTGCGGTTATCTAGATTGCTTGTCTATCCTAATAAAATAAAGCTTTCGCTTATCTTACTTTCGTGTTTAAATAATGTAAAAAAAAATTGCAATACTATTATACACATTTATAAATAGCATTTAAATTAATTGCATTATTAAATTAATTAGTTTAATTTAAATAGTAAATTTTTCCTGAAGTATTAGCAAAACATTTTATAATACGTATTTCTAATTTGCTGTTTTATATCAACAAAATATAGGCAGTTAATTTAATCTTAAATGACTGTCTACAGATTATGAGTTTGTTTAATGGAATTGGAAACATTTAAATTTTATTTTAGGGTGATAAAAGTAAAAACAAAATGCTTGTACCTGCGTTAATACAAATTAATGTGATTGTTTTATTCAGTTGGAAATAAGATGTATGTTTACCCAACTAAAAGATAATTTCGTATATTATAAATAATGTATTTTGCTTTTATATATAATGTATTTTGCTTTTTATTTTTCATTAACTGCCAATCTTTTCTGGTGTAAAATATGATGAGAAGAGCGGGGAACTTTACTTACGAAGTAAATATATGCTTGGCTTACGAATAGAAGACAACTCGTGTTTTTCTTCCAGTTAAAATCCCTCTAAAAGTTGAATCCTATTAAGATGTCATTGGCTTACAGAGCATATGGAAAAGTTTGTTGCATGGTGCCTTTCACTACTTGTTCTGTTGCGTATGTAAATATAAATAAAAGTAAAACTGAAAAAAATATTAAACAAGAACAAAAGTAGAACATTTAGAATTAAATTCTCAGAAAAAGACCTACGAAACGATTTCTTGCTTTTAACTGACATATTCTGTTCGCATACGTTGGCAACAAAATTTCATCATCATTCGAAACTACTGTTCAAGGCTTAACATTTGATTTCGACTTCAGTTAAGTGGTCTCATGGGTACGAAAA